TGAGTGTATCGTGACATGAGTGTATCGTTACATGAGTGTATCGTGACATGAGTGTATCGTGACATGAGTGTATCGTGACATGAGTGTATCGTTACATGAGTGTATCGTTACATGAGTGTATCGTTACATGAGTGTATCGTGACATGAGTGTATCGTTACATGAGTGTATCGTGACATGAGTGTATCGTGACATGAGTGTATCGTGACATGAGTGTATCGTTACATGAGTGTATCGTGACATGAGTGTATCGTGACATGAGTGTATCGTGACATGAGTGTATCGTTACATGAGTGTATCACATGAGTGTATCGTGACATGAGTGTATCGTGACATGAGTGTATCGTTACATGAGTGTATCGTGACATGAGTGTATCGTGACATGAGTGTATCGTGACATGAGTGTATCGTGACATGAGTGTATCGTGACATGAGTGTATCGTTACATGAGTGTATCGTGACATGAGTGTATCGTGACATGAGTGTATCGTGACATGAGTGTATCGTTACATGAGTGTATCGTTTCATGAGTGTATCGTGACATGAGTGTATCGTGACATGAGTGTATCGTGACATGAGTGTATCGTTACATGAGTGTATCGTGACATGAGTGTATCGTGACATGAGTGTATCACATGAGTGTATCACATGAGTGTATCGTGACATGAGTGTATCGTGACATGAGTGTATCGTGACATGAGTGTATCGTTACATGAGTGTATCGTGACATGAGTGTATCGTGACATGAGTGTATCGTGACATGAGTGTATCGTTACATGAGTGTATCGTGACATGAGTGTATCGTGACATGAGTGTATCGTGACATGAGTGTATCGTTACATGAGTGTATCGTTACATGAGTGTATCGTTACATGAGTGTATCGTTACATGAGTGTATCGTGACATGAGTGTATCGTTACATGAGTGTATCGTGACATGAGTGTATCGTGACATGAGTGTATCGTGACATGAGTGTATCGTTACATGAGTGTATCGTTACATGAGTGTATCGTTACATGAGTGTATCGTGACATGAGTGTATCGTTACATGAGTGTATCGTTACATGAGTGTATCGTTACATGAGTGTATCGTGACATGAGTGTATCGTGACATGAGTGTATCGTTACATGAGTGTATCGTGACATGAGTGTATCGTGACATGAGTGTATCGTGACATGAGTGTATCGTTACATGAGTGTATCGTGACATGAGTGTATCGTGACATGAGTGTATCGTTACATGAGTGTATCACATGAGTGTATCGTGACATGAGTGTATCGTGACATTGAGTGTATCACATGAGTGTATCGTTACATGAGTGTATCGTGACATGAGTGTATCGTGACATGAGTGTATCGTGACATGAGTGTATCGTGACATGAGTGTATCGTGACATGAGTGTATCGTGACATGAGTGTGTATCGTGACATGAGTGTATCGTGACATGAGTGTATCGTGACATGAGTGTATCGTGACATGAGTGTATCGTGACATGAGTGTATCGTGACATGAGTGTATCGTGACATGAGTGTATCGTGACATGAGTGTGTATCGTGACACGAGTGTATCGTGACACGAGTGTATCGTTACATGAGTGTATCGTGACATGAGTGTATCGTGACATGAGTGTGTATCGTGACATGAGTGTGTATCGTGACATGAGTGTATCGTGACATGAGTGTATCGTGACATGAGTGTATCGTTACATGAGTGTATCGTGACATGAGTGTATCGTGACATGAGTGTATCGTGACATGAGTGTATCGTGACATGAGTGTATCGTGACATGAGTGTATCGTGACATGAGTGTATCGTGACATGAGTGTATCGTTACATGAGTGTATCGTGACATGAGTGTATCGTTACATGAGTGTATCGTGACATGAGTGTATCGTGACATGAGTGTATCGTTACATGAGTGTATCGTGACATGAGTGTATCGTGACATGAGTGTATCGTGACATGAGTGTATCGTGACATGAGTGTATCGTGACATGAGTGTATCGTTACATGAGTGTATCGTGACATGAGTGTATCGTGACATGAGTGTATCGTGACATGAGTGTATCGTGACATGAGTGTATCGTTACATGAGTGTATCGTGACATGAGTGTATCGTTACATGAGTGTATCGTGACATGAGTGTATCGTTACATGAGTGTATCGTGACATGAGTGTATCGTGACATGAGTGTATCGTGACATGAGTGTATCGTGACATGAGTGTATCGTTACATGAGTGTATCGTGACATGAGTGTATCGTGACATGAGTGTATCGTGACATGAGTGTATCGTCACATGAGTGTATCGTGACATGAGTGTATCGTGACATGAGTGTATCGTGACATGAGTGTATCGTGACATGAGTGTATCGTGACATGAGTGTATCGTGACATGAGTGTATCGTGACATGAGTGTATCGTGACATGAGTGTATCGTGACATGAGTGTATCGTGACATGAGTGTATCGTGACATGAGTGTATCGTTACATGAGTGTATCGTTACATGAGTGTATCGTTACATGAGTGTATCGTTACATGAGTGTATCGTGACATGAGTGTATCGTGACATGAGTGTATCGTGACATGAGTGTATCGTTACATGAGTGTATCGTGACATGAGTGTATCGTGACATGAGTGTATCGTTACATGAGTGTATCACATGAGTGTATCGTGACATGAGTGTATCGTGACATTGAGTGTATCACATGAGTGTATCGTTACATGAGTGTATCGTGACATGAGTGTATCGTGACATGAGTGTATCGTGACATGAGTGTATCGTGACATGAGTGTATCGTGACATGAGTGTATCGTGACATGAGTGTGTATCGTGACATGAGTGTATCGTGACATGAGTGTATCGTGACATGAGTGTATCGTGACATGAGTGTATCGTGACATGAGTGTATCGTGACATGAGTGTATCGTGACATGAGTGTATCGTGACATGAGTGTGTATCGTGACACGAGTGTATCGTGACACGAGTGTATCGTTACATGAGTGTATCGTGACATGAGTGTATCGTGACATGAGTGTGTATCGTGACATGAGTGTGTATCGTGACATGAGTGTATCGTGACATGAGTGTATCGTGACATGAGTGTATCGTTACATGAGTGTATCGTGACATGAGTGTATCGTGACATGAGTGTATCGTGACATGAGTGTATCGTGACATGAGTGTATCGTGACATGAGTGTATCGTGACATGAGTGTATCGTGACATGAGTGTATCGTTACATGAGTGTATCGTGACATGAGTGTATCGTTACATGAGTGTATCGTGACATGAGTGTATCGTGACATGAGTGTATCGTTACATGAGTGTATCGTGACATGAGTGTATCGTGACATGAGTGTATCGTGACATGAGTGTATCGTGACATGAGTGTATCGTGACATGAGTGTATCGTTACATGAGTGTATCGTGACATGAGTGTATCGTGACATGAGTGTATCGTGACATGAGTGTATCGTGACATGAGTGTATCGTTACATGAGTGTATCGTGACATGAGTGTATCGTTACATGAGTGTATCGTGACATGAGTGTATCGTTACATGAGTGTATCGTGACATGAGTGTATCGTGACATGAGTGTATCGTGACATGAGTGTATCGTGACATGAGTGTATCGTTACATGAGTGTATCGTGACATGAGTGTATCGTGACATGAGTGTATCGTGACATGAGTGTATCGTCACATGAGTGTATCGTGACATGAGTGTATCGTGACATGAGTGTATCGTGACATGAGTGTATCGTGACATGAGTGTATCGTGACATGAGTGTATCGTGACATGAGTGTATCGTGACATGAGTGTATCGTGACATGAGTGTATCGTGACATGAGTGTATCGTGACATGAGTGTATCGTTACATGAGTGTATCGTTACATGAGTGTATCGTTACATGAGTGTATCGTGACATGAGTGTATCGTTACATGAGTGTATCGTGACATGAGTGTATCGTTACATGAGTGTATCGTGACATGAGTGTATCGTGACATGAGTGTATCGTGACATGAGTGTATCGTGACATGAGTGTGTATCGTGACATGAGTGTGTATCGTGACATGAGTGTATCGTGACATGAGTGTATCGTGACATGAGTGTATCGTGACATGAGTGTATCGTTACATGAGTGTATCGTGACATGAGTGTATCGTGACATGAGTGTATCGTGACATGAGTGTATCGTGACATGAGTGTCTCGTGACATGAGTGTTTCGTGACATGAGTGTATCGTGACATGAGTGTATCGTGACATGTGTGTATCGTGACATGAGTGTATCGTGACATGAGTGTATCGTGACATGAGTGTATCGTGACATGAGTGTATCGTGACATGAGTGTATCCTTACATGAGTGTATCGTGACATGAGTGTATCGTGACATGAGTGTATCGTGACATGAGTGTATCGTGACATGAGTGTATCGTGACATGAGTGTATCGTGACATGAGTGTATCGTGACATGAGTGTATCGTGACATGAGTGTATCGTTACATGAGTGTATCGTGACATGAGTGTATCGTTACATGAGTGTATCGTGACATGAGTGTATCGTGACATGAGTGTATCGTGACATGAGTGTATCGTGACATGAGTGTATCGTGACATGAGTGTATCGTGACATGAGTGTATCCTTACATGAGTGTATCGTGACATGAGTGTATCGTGACATGAGTGTATCGTGACATGAGTGTATCGTGACATGAGTGTATCGTGACATGAGTGTATCCTTACATGAGTGTATCGTGACATGAGTGTATCGTGACATGAGTGTATCGTGACATGAGTGTATCGTGACATGAGTGTATCGTGACATGAGTGTATCGTGACATGAGTGTATCGAATTTCCGTTTTGCGATGAATAAATTGCAGATGTTTTATACTTTTTATACATCATCATTAGTGCATGCAAACCCTAATTTCACTGTAAAAAAAAGTATAATACTGCATCTATATTATTAAGTTATACTTAGAGAACTTACATTTATATGTATGCTTTTTCTCATCATAATAGTCTTTGCTGTATGTGAATCTAATGGAGGCACTTTCAGATTTCTCTTGTCCAACATGTGCCGTCACATCCACAACATAATCATCGGCCGCATCGTGGCTGTAGTTGCTGATATCAAGGAATATCTGGGACGTGTCGACGGTCCGGCGATCACTGCAGATAAATGACACAGAGTGAGTGTCTTGTGATTAGGAAATGTCACGTGATTCTCTGAAATTGTTTTCGTCAGCTGCTTTTGACACACACACACACACACACACGTACCTTTCATAAGGTTTGACCAGTACGCTGAACCTCAGCTGTTCAGCGGGATTACTGTAGTTCCAGTAAAGCACATTCACAAAGTTGTGACAAACAACACTGACGTTTGTTGCAGGAGGAACTGAGGAAAAACAAGCGCCGGTTAGATTCAGATTTAGAGATCATTGCAAACTTATGATTACAACAATTTCTTCCAGTATTGCTAAACAGGCACTGAAATGTTGAGGCATTTCTCAGACAGACGTCATTTCCCTGATGAAAGATTTTGAGGTTTGAATCATATTACATATGATGCTTACATGTTTGAAATGAGTTTAGCAGACAAATATAAATTATGGCTATATTCAAATGTCTTTTCAAAAATATATTTTAATAATTAAAGATGCACCGATTGCCCTTTTAGACTGGAATAAGCTATTTTTATATTTCATCAGGATACATAACTCCCATCCCTCCATTGTGTTGTTAGATCGATTATTGGCAGTGTATAAACGGTTTAAGACAATACGTTTGTTTTTTTGCATGTTATTTCAGTTTAACGGGGTCAGTATGATCTGAGGAAGTGGCTGCTAGTCACAGGAAATGCTTCTCTTGCACAATATTAAGATGTCAAACACACAGAGAGTAGAAACATTAGACTCCTGGTAGATTAGGTGCTTGGACTCGATCATTCATAGTAAACTGAGTGACAACATTGGTTATGACGATTACTTTTTTTAAATTATCATAATAAAAATGCTCATAAAAATTAGAAGATTAAAAAAAAAACCACAAAGCCACAACTGGGAGATTTTATCGTTGATGTTAGACTATGAAATGTTACACCACTCAATAGTGGAAAAAACAATGTCTTTTTGACTGTTTTTCTTTATAAACAGTGGAATGAGCTGTTCTTTTTTTTGTAGTGTTAATTGTTAAGCCATCTCACATCTCAAGTCACTACAGAATCTAGACATATTTCGACTGTGAGACAGTTGAGCAAAGCTCATAATGCGGTTTCTGAATAGTAATTGAGGAAAAAGTTGCCAAATCATCACTGAAAATCAACCAAATAAAAAAAAATCTGACTTGTAAACGTGTTTGAGAAAACTTTGTTTAAGAGAAGTGAAATTTAGAAAGCAGAAATCAGTTTTTGCACTTGAGAGGAAGTTTAGTGCTGTTAACACTAATAGTTTAGTTTTGATGTGAGAGTATTTCAATGGGAATATATATATATGTATATATAGCCTTGCCACAGAACTGAGATCACATGCCATCTTAGTCCTTTTTATTTTGTTCCTCAACATTATTATTTAGGCTAAAATAAGTGTTTTATTTGTGCCTTGCCATGTGTGCAGGGCTTGTAAATCAGCAGTAGGCGGTTGCTTTTAAAAGTTTGTTCGTTCGCTGTTTATTTCGTCTCACGATGTCAGCCAGAGAAGCAGCGTCGCCGTCGAACAATGCTAAAGGCCACACTGATTTGCAGCTGTAACCACGTGTGAGGAGTGACATTTTCACACCCGCTCACATCAGACCTAGCTGTGGTTTTACTGTGACACATGTGTGAAAATAAAACCACGTTATATAGCACCCATACTGTACATTCAACAGCAAACTCTGGCCAAGACACCGGCGGACTGACTGGCACATTGGTGCAAACAAGAATTGAGAAAGAATACAAGAGATAGAAACGAAGGAATGAAAAGAACAACAGGAAGGAAGTGAAAGAGCGAGAGAGAGAAATGAGAGAAAGATTGTCACGCAAACACAAGCATTCATACAAACAAAAGTTTGAGTCCTAAAGCCAAACTACAGTCATCCGAGATCCTCTGCAAACCGACACTATAGAGTTCAATAGAAATATAATACCAGCTTACTAGTGCTAAGTGCAACCTAAAGTGAGGGGAAATCTGCAAGCCATGAGATATGCATAGAGAAATGCAAGCACCTGCATGTAAAACTTTTAAAACTTAAAAAGTTACATTATTCTATCTTTAGATAAACATATTAGAAATACTAAGGTTTTTATATAGCCTACAGCTCTGTTACGCATAAGTTTAGGTGATGACTACAGCTATTATTCAAATATTTTAATAATATATATATAAATTATATATAAAAACTACAGCTTTGTTACCAAGAACTTGCATATTTTATTTGTGTTTAATAATTCATCCATTGTATATAGTAACAACTTGATAATACTCACTGACTCCACCAGTGAACATAAAACTCTCGCAGAAGCTCACGAATCATAAAGCATTTAGCCTACACAAGTGTCCCTGCATACAGACTAGACCGCCAGGAGCCTCGTTTCCGGAAGCATTTTGTCCACAGGGATTTAAAAAAAACTTCCTTGAATTGAAAGTAAATTGATTTGGCATCCTATCAAAGATTGGGTAAGGGATATTTCAAAAACGCTGTGGGACAATGTTGATTAACCCAAACAAACACACGCCTCTCTTCCAAAACTCATCCTGCAATCTGGGGATATAGCGGCTGGGGATGTTAACGCTATCGGCCTGATAGAAACAATCATATATATTAAAGCCGATAAATAATGTATTATTTCCTTCAGATGCGCACTGTTTTATGATGATGGTTTTGAATCGCTTGAAATATTATTGGAATCAAAAAGGAAAATGCAGTAAAGGAGGGATAAAATTATCATGAGAACATTTTAATTGTGTGCTTGGAACTTTTAATTTTGTAATCATCAGGCTCTCAAAAATTATATAGAAAAATTGGATTTAGATCTTTCGTACAATATATCGGTTATCGGCTTTCAAATATAACTAATTATCGGTTATCGTATCGGCCAAAATGTTTATATCGGTGCTTCCCTACTCCAATCCTAAACGCCCTGCGTTTCGAGTCGTTCTCGAACGCGATTGCTGGCATTAGCAATGATGCTAAACACCGCATTCTCTAGCAATCATCAGCGCCACTCACTAACTGACATCCGTTACGCACGCAATACAAGAGTGGATGTCTGTTTATCATAGCAGAAGCAGAATAATGCTTCACGAAATATAATGCGCAGATGATGAACGAATGACGAGGAAGCACAACAAATTTAACGTACAGTACACAATAGTAATTACAAACAAGAGTTGGTTGTTAGGGGACATTCTAAAACGCTTAACGTGAAAACCGTGTTACTCACGTGTTACTGTGTTACTCACTTATTACTCAGTGTAACTGTGTTACTCAGTGTTACTCACGTGTTACTGTGTTACTCAGTGTTACTCACGTGTTACTGTGTTACTCAGTGTTACTCACGTGTTACTCACTTGTTACTCACTTGTTACTCACTTGTTACTCAGTGTAACTGTGTTACTCACTTGTTACTGTTACTCACGTGTTACTGTTACTCAAGTGTTACTCACGTGTTACTCACTTGTTACTCACTTGTTACTCACTTGTTACTCACTTGTTACTCACTTGTTACTCACTTGTTACTCAGTGTAACTGTGTTACTCACTTGTTACTGTTACTCACGTGTTACTGTGTTACTCACTTGTTACTGTTACTCACGTGTTACTCACTTGTTACTGTTACTCACGTGTTACTCACTTGTTACTGTTACTCACGTGTTACTCACGTGTTACTGTTACTCACGTGTTACTCACTTGTTACTGTTACTCACGTGTTACTCACTTGTTACTGTTACTCACGTGTTACTCACGTGTTACTGTTACTCACGTGTTACTCACTTGTTACTGTTACTCACGTGTTACTGTGTTACTCACTTGTTACTGTTACTCACGTGTTACTCACGTGTTACTGTTACTCACGTGTTACTCACTTGTTACTGTTACTCACGTGTTACTGTGTTACTCACGTGTTACTGTTACTCACGTGTTACTCACTTGTTACTGTTACTCACGTGTTACTGTGCTACTCACGTGTTACTGTTACTCACGTGTTACTCACTTGTTACTGTTACTCACGTGTTACTGTGCTACTCACGTGTTACTGTTACTCACGTGTTACTCACTTGTTACTGTTACTCACGTGTTACTGTGCTACTCACGTGTTACTGTTACTCACGTGTTACTGTTACTCACGTGTTACTGTTACTCACTTGTTACTGTTACTCACGTGTTACTGTGCTACTCACGTGTTACTGTGCTACTCACGTGTTACTGTTACTCACGTGTTACTCACTTGTTACTGTTACTCACGTGTTACTGTGCTACTCACGTGTTACTGTTACTCACGTGTTACTCACGTGTTACTGTTAATCACGTGTTACTGTGCTACTCACGTGTTACTGTTACTCACGTGTTACTGTTACTCACGTGTTACTCACGTGTTACTCACGTGTTACTCACTTGTTACTGTTACTCACGTGTTACTGTGCTACTCACGTGTTACTGTTACTCACGTGTTACTCACTTGTTACTGTTACTCACGTGTTACTCACTTGTTACTGTTACTCACGTGTTACTGTGCTACTCACGTGTTACTGTTACTCACGTGTTACTCACTTGTTACTGTTACTCACGTGTTACTGTGCTACTCACGTGTTACTGTTACTCACGTGTTACTGTTACTCACGTGTTACTCAGGGATGGAAATTAGCACCCGCCACCAGCCAAATGCGGGTGATTTTGTGTTGTGGCGGGTAAACTCGCTTCACCTACCGGCCACCGTGGCGGGTAAATAAAAATAGCATACTGTTTCACCCGGACGGCGGACACTTTTAGAGGAGGCACACCTTCAAACAAAAATGTGGCGTTACATCGCAGGCGTAGAGGTCTGCAGAGAAAACATCATGGTGCGTTCACACCAGACGAGAATAGAGCGTCTGGCGCGAGTGATTTCATTGTTAAGTCAATGCAAAGACGCGTTACGCGCGTAAAAAATTCCTACGGCGCGAATGAGGTGTAGAGCGCGCCGTGGTAGATGCGAATACGCCTCATTCGCGCGGCAAGTTCGAGCGTCTGACGCGTTCCGCGCGCATGATTTTATTGAGTGCTTTTGTGCATTCACGCGTTTGACGCGAATTCGCGTCTGCCGCCCGAGTTGAAAAATCTGAACTTTGGCGTCAATTCGCGCCGCGTTAACCAATCAGGAGCCTAGCTGCTGTCACGTGGTGAAGTATCTGGATGCTTCAATAAATTATTTTGTACTAAA